CTGCTGCCAGAACTTCCCTTACTAGCTAAAGGTGAGATGTGTGTCAGAAGCGATCTGTGAATAACGTGATACTTTAATACATTTCCACAGGGACATTACTAATCAATAAGCACAAATGTTACTTGTAGTGATAAGCCAGTTTTGTTTACACGTTATGTTTAAAAAAAGATCCCTCAGGAGGGACTCACACTTGAACCTTGTAAATACTGTTATGTGCCGTAAGTAGTACGTGCCGTAAGGGAGATACGTGTTGTAAGGTCAGCGTAAGTGTTACGTGCCGTAAGTTCAGGAGGATGCCTACAGGTTCTTCGGATGTCCTGCCCACTCGCCCATTGGTCAACCGCTCCCTAGACTCCGCCCTCTGGACCTGGCCCCGCCTCCCTTCGCCCTGGTTTTGACTGTCTGCTTGGTTTTGAACTTTCTCTCGTACTCTGACTTCGCCTCTTTGATCTCCCCTCTGGATACTGTCGCTTCGGCTGTGTGTTTGCGTGTTTCACTAGGTGTGTGAAAGGAGTGTCTGCCTATTTGTTTCTTCGTCTGCGTGGGGATTACTGTTTGTTTGGTTAGGGAGATAGGCTTAGGCATTGTTGTTTCGTTTCACCTTTTTGTTGTGTTCACTTAGGATTAATTTAGCTTGGGGTTATATTCAGAAGATGTGGTTTTGTTTGTTTATTTGGCCTTTTGTCACTCCTGACGTTCGTTACACGTAGTGCTTGTACAATGTCTGTGGAAAACTATAAAAAACTATAAAAAAGACTCCCTTTGTGTCCTGTGTTCCCTTTTCCTAGCCCTGGTTGTCTTGTCCTTCCCAATCCCTCCTTCCCTTTCACTTTGTTAGGCTCCAACCCTAGACTGGAGCGTAACAATACAATCAAGGTTCCTTCACTGTGGTAGCACCCCCTGGCTGCCAGAGTGCTGCAATGAACAGAAGAAGCAAACGCTGGTGACAGTCAGAGCTGCCAGGGCTGAATCAAAACCGCGGCAGGCCATCTGCTCGACCACTGAGCCAGAGGGCAAGCGAACAGCTCATTTAGTGGAATGAAACTGTCCTGCATGCTACATTAAACAAATATACAGAACGGCACGTTGTCAGACGGTGCCTTTGTTTGTTTGCCTGCTTCCTTCGGCCTCTTTTCTCTTGATCTTTAAACCTGTCACTCGACATCTACCTCCCCTGTCTTTTGTCCGACAGCTTTATGCTCAGAGCAGACGCAGATTACGCCTGAACTTCTGTCAGCATCAGTTCTGTCGCACAGCCTTGCTTAGCAATTCAAGTCAAGTGGGCTTCACTGTCACAGTACCCATATACAGGTGCACGACGGCTCGAAATAATGTTCTCCCGGGACCACAGTGCCACATGCAGACAGCGAGTGACACGGGGGGAGGGGGTTTCACAGGACTTGCAGTGCAAGGCACTGGACAGTGTGAAATGAGGGGGAAGCGGGTGGGGGGGACACAAGCCTTCCACACAATGCTTTGTTTAGCAGTTGGTTACATTGTTATTTCTGTGCCAGAGGCATTTGCTGGTACCCATAGAGAATATTCTGGAAAACAAAGCAAATGGCACAGAAAGGCTACTAATACAGCCTTTATATGAGAGCAGTCCCCACACTCCAAACAGCTTATACGAGCATCATCTTCCTGAAACCTACAGACAGCTGCATTTGTTTCCATTTGCATGTTTATTGTAAGTGCCCTTACTAACAAATAGTGCCTTGGTAACAATGAAATTCAGGGCAGAACTTGGCCGGTGCAGCTTCTCTGGAACCTTCCCCCAGTTTGCCATTTCATGGCTCTCTAAGTGCTACCATTTCATCACAGCGCCTCCTACTGTTGTAACGGTGCATCTTCAGCCCACAAATCTGTTACTGGAATTTTTCCGTTCATGATGCTTCAGATGTCAGGGACTTTCTGTCCTTCGGGCTATATTCGCAAGTTACAGACAGTAGACTGCTTATTTTGCTTTAATTACAATTTAATTTAAAGGCTGTGGATTAGGATTAATTATGATAAGAGGACTGATAAAGGAGTTTAAAGAACTCTGTGGTTTCTTGATGCGAGGTTGCAAAGCCCAGTTTTTCCAAACATAATACTACCCAAAAGCCGACTGCCTCGAGATCATTATACATCACACATGTTCACATTGAATCTTTAGACATTTGGAATATATTGTGTTTCCAGAGTGAAACCCAAGAGGAGAACGTCTTTTAGCATGGCGCAGTTACGAGTCTGGCCCCAAGCGTGTGTGCCCGCTGTAAACATGATCATGTGACACTAAATGGAACGACAGTTAGTTATAAAAGCTCAAAACATATAAGGTTTCAGACCATCGAACGGTTGCCTCTGGAGACATCTTCTCATTTGGAACAGATGATGGCAAGGGAGCTTGAAGTAAATCCAGTCGGTAATCAGACTGTTTGGGTCTGGTGAGGCTGCTTTCACAACTCCAGATGCGGCCATGAAGGGGGTGACACACGCAAGCAGGGCCAGACAGGGTGGGGGAGGGGGTCACGTGTCATTGCTTAGCTTAGACCAGTGTTTCTCAACCCAGTCCTTGGGGACCCCCAGCCAGTCCACATTTTTGCTCCCTCCCAGCTCCCGGCCAATCAAGAACACCGAATACCTGGTACAGGTGTGCTGGGAGCTGGGAGGGAGCAAAAATGTGGACTTTCTGGCAGTCTCCTAGGACTGGGTTGAGAAAGAATACTTTAGAGTTTCCTCTGCCTGATGGAGCTACTTTTTTTACCCTTTGTGCCATTTAAAGGTTATATTTTTGACCACTTTTCCTGAATACATGATGACAAAGCTGTGAGGCAGCCCTGTGCAGAACATGCCGCCACCTGGAACGCACCCCATGCGGACCGGCCTCGTCCCGTGAAATCAGAACCCAGATCTTCTGCGGAGATATTTTAACTGGGCAGCAAGCCAGAGAATAAAGAGTTGGGGGGGACAAGAGAGGGGAAGACAGCAGCGTGATTCAGAGGTGGACAGTTCAAGTCCGGAAAGTAAAAATCCAGACCAAGATTTTGTTTCAACCAACCAGTTGAGTACTTTGTGACTGTAACTCTTTATACACAACTGGTTGATTGAAACAAAATCTTGGTCTGGATTTTTATTTTCTGGACCTGAACTTTCCACCTCTGGTGTGATTACAGAGTATCCTCAGAGTTTATGAGGACAAGGCCGGTGCGGACGTTACTGCTTCTAGCATTCATGCTTTTTAGTTAGAAACTTTTTTTTTTTATTCGTAAATATTTCATGCACATATATTCAGTTTTGTGCATAGCCAGATGTGCACGAGTGCGTGAGCACTAACAATATCTTTCAGAGAAACACTCAGCGTCTGATTGTGTCTGTCTTCTGTCTTTCATCACAGACACGCTCACACGCATACATGCATCACAGAGTGCCGGCATCATACAAACAAGCGTGCCAAAGTCCCTTTAATGGTAAACAACGAGAGTGGTGTGTAGCTTTGTGGATTAAGACGCTGTAGCTGTGACTATGAGGTCACAAGTTCACATCACAGGGTCGGCAGAGTGATGTCACCATGGGGCCCCTGAGCGAAGCCCTTAACCCCCAATAACTCCAGAGATGGTCTCACCCTGTTTTCTTAGTTGTATGTCACTTTAGATAAAATTGAAAAATAGGTAACATGATGTAAACAAGATGTACAGATGACCAAGATTATTGCAGAACCTGCTGGCTGCGGTACTGCGACCGACTCTATTTCCCATGCGAATGTTGACCATTCTTGCTAAGTCTAACTCTACTTCTACAGACGGCTCATTCTGGTACTAGAGCAAAGTACAGGGAGGATGACCACGCTTCCCGCTGGCTGAGCAAACGCGTTAAATTATGAATAAAATCATGCCTGCCTCCAAAATTAATACATCATATTTATTGCTTTTTATTTTAGATTACTCTACAAATATATATTTGTGGAAAACGTTTTTACAGAAAACAATAAGAAAATAAGTTAGATTTTGAAGAGAAAAAAAAATAATGAAATGAATTACTGTTCACTTGTCACGTCATATAAAGTTTCCTTTTTATCCAGGAGGCAAAATTTCAGAAAATACATTGGATTTAAATCATTGTAAATATGCCACAGACCACATCTGGTTTCATACAGTTGAAGATTCAGGCAAAAACAATAAGAATACATACATGAGTAAGTGCTGTATATACAAAGAGGTAATCAGGGATTCTTCTAGTGTAAGGGGTCTAAGGCAGAGACACATTCTACACTGTACATAGCTGTGTTCACGTAAGGTTCACGTGGTCCAGCCTCACGCTAGACACTCTTCACACCGGAGCGACCGCACACAGAAGCATGTTAATGACATAATTCTGTCCTGTGAAAATGAGAAACTATATCTGAGACACACAGATGGCATGATGTGTTAAAGTATTTAACAAGGGAATCAGACAATCAGTAGCTGCACCTGACCAGATACGTAAGCACACACACACACACACACACACGCACACACACACACACAGGCACACACACACGCACACACACACACACACACACACACACAGGCACACACACACACACA